GATCCTACACTTTACAACCAAATTCTAATGTGACTCTATAATTGCATAAATAAAGGTGACTGTTGTCAAGTTACCCAGAAACCACAAAGACTTTCCTGGGACAACAGCTTCATTTCCTGTGTCTTCTCAGCCCTGCTGGGGAGTCGGAAGCCACGTGGGTTCCAAAAGGTGATCCGACGACAGTCGAGCGCTCAGAACTGAACACTGAGAAAGAAAGACGTTTGGAATCCCAGGATCGGCAACTTGCGGGCTGTGATCTCCTTCGCCAGTTTCAGCTGCGGATGGTGGTTGAACTGTGAGACCGTTGAGAAAAATTCTCACGCAGGGTCTAGAGAGCAGTGGACAGGGTCTGCTAAGGGAGTGGAAATCGGGAAGAAGAAAATGTGCTGGCGCAAGGATCGATCCTTCCATGTTATCTTTGTCTGAACTCCCGAACCGTCCCAGGGCCAGTCTCTCCCAGGAAAAGGGACAAGGAATCTCCCAGGGATAGAGTGAAGTTGGTGAAGGCACGTTATCCAGAACCATTCAGACTGGGATGCATCGGCCTCCTCCTTCTCCTACCCTCCGCTCCAGGAGGCCTCTCCTCCCACCTGGAATTGGAAGGATTCTGTTCTCATCAATGCGGGTCTCCCTCCCGATTCCAGTACATACCCGATTCCAACCTACTGCGCAAGCATATCACCCAAAAGGTTGGCGCTGCTTGATGGTGTGTCTCGAAGCAATTCCACGGCTCAACAAATGCGTATTGTTTAATTTTTTCTGTTGGTGTTTTCCAGCTTTCTTTTCCTTAGTCAGCAGATGGGGCAAAGTGGGTGAATTCACGCCTGACGCGTCCCCAGTTTGCACTATGGTTCGGGTCCCAAGTGACCCAGCCACTTTTCTGCCCGGGCATTACACTTTGATCCCGAGGTCCAAATGGAAGGGTAACGGTATGTGTACCCCACTGGGTGGCGCGCTTGACGCGCATTTGCGGCCAAGGCGCTTCTAAAATCCCAGCTCAAAGGATGATTTTGTCCCTTCCAGGAGGGACGAAGTATTTTTCATTTCATTTCATAATTTATTTCCTTTCTGCGAGCAGGTCTTGCCACAAACTCGATGTTATTATCAGTAGCTCATGATTCTTTCATAGGATTTCAGTTCGATTCCCAGCACCTATAACGGAGATCGCTCACAACCCACATTAACCACAGCTCCAAAAGATCAAACAACCGAGCGTTGCTGGGCACCAGCTCACATGTGTATATATGCGTGAATAACAAATCATTTTTTAAAATATAGAAAATCCAGCAGTTTTTAAAAATAGCCCATTGAGATTTGAAGAGGAAATTTGGAAGGTTTCTGGCAAAAAAAAGGTCTAAACATGGACTATTTGATTTCTAAGTTTGAATTCATTGCTGTCCTTCCTGTCAGGTTTGGGAAACAAGCCTAACTGCCTGGAGGTTATTATATCAGTGCAAATATATCCCATGCAACATTAGGGATATACCTAAATTCAACAGAACCTATTGTTTGCCTGACGGCTGGATAGTGGTGGCAAACATCTTTAATCCCAGCACTCAGGAGGCAGAGATAGACAGATCTCCAAGTTTGAAGCTAGCCTAGTCTGCAGAATGAATTCTAAGACTGACAGGACTATACAGAAAAAAAAAAAAAAGACTATGTTTAAGACAGCCTGAGAACCCTGGGACAGTATTCTGTCGGGTCAGAACCAAGGTTTCTAGACACTATAGCCTTTCCACTCATGCCAAGTCACCTCCATGCCCTGTTGGCTAGGAGGTGAGTGCTGAACTTTTGACCTTTGTCTACTGGTGGGACAACTCCCTTCTGTAGGAGGAGATTCAGGACTGTGCCATTAGCCAGATGGCGTGGCACGCTAGAGGCGCATACAGATGTAGTAACTATAGTGCGGTACTAACCACACCCACTTTGGGCGTGACTAGAGACAGGGTGGTGAACTGTGCCACTAGCCAGGCCTACTTCTGGGCGTGGCTAGAGGCATGTACGGAGGTTCTTATAAAAGACTGTGTGGGCAGAGCCGTGCTCTCTTTTTCCGACTTCCGGTTTGGTAGGAAAGCTACTTGACTCATCTGGGTTGCCTGTTTTCTCTTGTAAGTAATGTCTACAATAAACAGCTACCTATACCCTCAGCAAGTGTACTGGTTATCGTTACAGCTACACCCTTCCTCTTTGTAAAATAACCTAGCTTGCCTCATTATAGTGAGAGTCAGGTAAAGAACAGGTGTTCAAAAACAACGACAACAAAAAACCAAAGCATGCAGATCTTCCACATTTCTGCTTCTGTCGTCCCCTGCGGCGAGTTCAGGGACTTCATAAGCACTTTGTGTGAGATGCTCCACAGGAATTCCCCAGGAGTCATTTGCTAGAGTCTTGTATGTATGACAGCAGTCAGGGTCAAGTGGCCACACACACACATACACACACACACACACACACACACACACACACACACATACACACCACACACACACACACATACACACACACACACCGCACACACACACACACACCACACACACACACACCACACACACACACACACACACACACACACACACACACACACACACACACACACACACACACACACACACACACACACACACACACACACACACACACACACACCACACACACACACACAGAGACACACACACACACCACACACACACACACACACAGAGACACACACACACACACACACACACACACACCACACACACACCACACAGAGACACACACACACACACCATACACACACCACACACACACACACACACAGAGCACACACACACACACACACACACACACACACACACACACACACACACCACACACACACACACACACACACACACACACACACACACACACACACACACACACACACACACACACACACACACACACACACACACACACACACAGACACACACACACACACACACACACACACACACACACACTTGGAGCTCTCTGGAAAGAAGGCCACCAGTTTTGCTTAATGACTCATTGGTAACTGAGAGAGTAAACATCTCCCCTTCTAGATCAAAAAGCCACATGAAGATGACTCCATAGATTCAGCACCCAGCATCTATGAAAGAGAAAATAGATGCGTGGTTACCAGCATTGGGCAGGAGGATGTGAGATGACTTTTGAGGGGTAATAACAGCATTGTGGAATTAGGAGCTACATGATGGTTGCAAATCTAGTGACGATACAAGGAAAACAAAATCACCCGATGACTCAGACACTTACTGTCTGAATTTGCATCTCTGCAGCTGTGATAAAACTCTAACCCAAACCAAGCTGGAGAGAAAAGGACTTGTTTGGCTTCCATCACTGAAGGAAGTAAGGGCAGGAACTCAGACAGGAACTTGGAGGCAGGAACAGAACCACTGAGAAACACTGCTGACTGGCTTATTCTCCGTGGCTTGCTCAGCTTGCCGGCTTATCCAACTGAGGGCCATTTGCCAGGCACGGCAGCTGCTCGCAGTGGGCTGGGCCCTCCCACACTAATCATTAATCAAGAAGACGCCCCACAGATCTGCCCACAGACCAATCTGATCGAAGCAACTCCTCAACTGAGGGTCTGTCTTTCCAGGTGACCCTACTTTACTTCAGGTTGACAAAGACTAAGCAGCCTAGAACTGGAACTTGGATCCCAGGCGTTGACATAGAACTCTGGCATGGCCATGCATGCTGTGACGCATGATGATGGAGATAGAGACACGGGACTCCAGGAGCCCGCTGGTCAGCCAGCCTAGCCAAAATGACAAGCTTCGGGGTCAGAGAGGGACCCTGTCTCAAGGGAATAAGGTAGAGAGAGAGTGATAGAGGAGGACACCTAACATCCCCGCTGGCCCCCACATGTACGGGTAACTTGCACATACACGTACACATGCCACACACACAAAACGGTAAATTGTATGGAGTTATAGTTCAGCGTTGAAAAACAGAGTGTGGGCCTGAGGGCCACTGAGCAACGGAATTGCATTCACTTGGGCAGGTTGCCTTCTGACAAGCCTCATCCTGAGAGCCATGGAAACCAGTGGGTGCTCATTCAGAGAGTGACATAGTCAGACTTACCCTCTAGGGAGCTCACACGGCTGTCATCAGGAGGATGCATTGGGGGGGGGGGACCAATGGGAAGGCTGATGCTCTCCAGATGAGAATCGGGGGCAGCAGTGAAAAAGGACAAAATCAGAATTCAGAGACCAGAGCTCAGGGACTGAGGGAAGGGGGGGGGTAAGAAGAGAGAAGGTGAATGGTGGGGTGACTGGTTGAGGGTGCCAGAGGAAATGGGACTAGGAGTCACTTATCAGGGTGGGGAGCCCCGGGCGAGGGGCCACCTGAGTTTGAGACACCGGCATGAAAAGCAAGGGACTCGTATCTGGGAGGAACCACTGGCTTTTCATCACTAACTCTTTGGGGATGGGCAAGCTGCCCTAAGTGTTGAAGGCAGAAGCAAGAGAGCCAGGAAGTAGCCTGAAAAACTGTAGCACATGAGAGACAAGAAGCCAGGAGCCAACCTGAAGAAAAGGTGGGACTTGCGGGTGCCAGGAGCGAGTGTCGTCTCAAGAGCATGCCGGGGTGAGCTGGGTGAGCAGCGGAACCCGGGAAGGGATTTAGGAAGAGGCCAGGTGCTGGAGAATCTGGGGGCGCCCCCAATGCAGGGCTACAGGGAGACGGACAGATTGAGGAAAGACTGGGCCGTGGAAGAACAGATTCTTGGAATGAATGAGTCTGTGCGGGGAAAGAAGGGGGAAACACATTTGTTTGAATTCTTTGGGCCTGGAGAGAAGGGCCACCAGTGGAGTTTCTAAAGAAATGGGTGGAGTCAGAATTCACAGTACCAAGTACCCAGGCCTTAGAGGCCAGGTAAGGATGCCTTCCTCTGTAAGTGAAGGACGAAAGTCAGAACAGGACTGAGGTATGCTGGGGTGGGGATTTTTAACAAACCAAGAGATGAGGAAAGGGACTTTTCCTGTGGCTTTTATTTTGACACTGAGGCAGGAGACAACATCAAATACCAAGGCTGCAGGCAAAGCTAAAGGGACTTGACAAAGCATATGTCCAAAGCTGCCCAGAGAGGCAGCTGTTTAAATTTCCAAGAATCTGAAGAACAAGTTGTTAAACACAGCTACTGAAAATCAAATTAGAGCAGCTCCACACAAACATCCCCAGCTCCTTTGTGAGGTGACACTACTGGGGCAGCAGATCCGAAGGCACAGACATGGAAGAGCCAGGCACACGTGACAACCTGACTGGGAAAGACTCCCTCCTCTCCCGGGCTGCAGCCTGAGCCAGCCGGCTGAAGCTGCAGACAAAGGGATTCAGCCTCAGAGAGGAGGGGTCAGATGGCTCTGCTCCACACAATAGACCAGCCGACTCGCATTGATTTTCTGGGCTAGGCTAAAGTTTGGTAATTGTTCCTTGGTAATGGGCATGGTTTCAAAAGATGTTTTTCCTTCTTCTGGGTAAACATTCTGACCTTGAGGTTTGTGGGCTAATGGACAGTGACTTAACCCACTCACTGCTGAAATTGCTCCTATTGCTAGGAATCGATGTCTGGCAGGAAAGTTCCAGTTTGTGCCTTGCTCTAGACCTAAACACAAGGAAGGGTGGGGTAGAAGAGTCACATTCAGCTCCAGCAGGCAACAGGCCAAGTGAACCCTTTATTGTTATGGTTTTGGATCAACCATTTCTCAAATATTCGACATGTCTACCTGCAGAGCTCCATGAAGCCTGATTCCCCGTTAGGGTGGGGTGGGGAGGCGGTGGGGAGGACCACGAAGGGGTCAGACACAATATGAAGGCAGAGATGTCAAGTACTTTACTATCCCATCAGATGCCCGTGGGCTTAGGCAGAGAGTTGGTGTTTCTAGAGAAAGCAGGCTTCAAGTTGCTGCAGAGTAACCAAGGCAACTGTTATCAGAGTCCACATATCAGAGGTTTTTATCTCTGGCAAGCTCTTGGGATGCTAATGATGCATTGCTCGGCTGTGACCTCCAAAATTAGTGATTTTTAAGTCAACCAAGAGCAAATGCTGTGATCTTGCTTTGACAGATGAGCTGACATCCGAGCTGACTTCAGGGGCTTACCAAGGGCTTTGGGTGGGATAAGATTCGTCCTCAGTAACATGTCCCCTTTGTCATTGTCAGTTGGATGTCCATCTCAAAGGCCACTGGTTTTAGCTTAGTCTAGTCACAAAGGCCCCTTGTCTGTGAACACTTGGGTCTTGTGACCATTTAATTTGGTGTTTTATGACAAAGCAGTCTGAGGCACACCTTCAATAGGTAACAGGTCAAGAGCCCAGAGTCTATCTGCTTTTGGACCCTGTGGCTTCCTGTCTCAATGGTTCAAAATAGTTGAATGGAAAGACAGCCTTTTCTGCAAATGGCATAGCACCTGAACCTCACCAAAACTGAAAACTCTGTCCTTGAAAGGCCTGGTGAGAGTGAGGATATAGTTATTATACGTCTAGCAAAGGACTAGTTTGCCAGAGTTTATGAGGAACCCATAAAATCTAACAGTGGATAAACAAACCAGTTAGAAAAGGGGCAAAAGGCATGAACTGATGTAGACGGCACACGGAAAATACTCAAATTCATTAGTATTACAATGCCGTGCAGTGGCCAGATTGAAATAAAACATAATGAAAACACCAAATACCCAGGAGGATGCAGAAAACTGGTCACTCGTATGCAAGGCCATTAAAAATGCAAAACGGCACAGTCACTTTGCATAAGCGCGCCAGTGACGCAGCAACTGCACTATTAAGACATTAGCCCAAAAATGTGAAAATGAATGCTCATGCGAAAGCCTGTACTTCCACATTCAGAGACTCTTTGTTTGTAAGTTGAAAACTAGAAATGACTCGATGTCTTCTGGAGGGTTAACCGCTAAGTGACCTGCGGTCTTAACCTAATTCATACCTTAGAACACTGTTCAACAAAGAACAGGTTGGTAGAGGCACCAACCTGATGACAAGAAAGAAAGAAAGAAAGAAAGAAAGAAAGAAAGAAAGAAAGAAAGAAAGAAAGAAAGAAAGAAAGAAAGATCCCAGGTCATGAGATTTTGTTCATCTAACATTATTGAACCATCGTGATTAAAGAAACGGAGAATAAACTGGATGGTGGTGGTCTTTAATCCCAGCACTCCAGAGGCAGAGGCAGGCGGATTTCTGAATCCCTGTGGTGACAAGTTCTATGTCTTGCCTGTGTCAGAGTCAATGTCCTGGTTGTGATTATAGTTCTGCCTGACGTCACCGAGGAGGAAAGCTATGTAAAGACATAAGCTATCTCTTTGCATTATTGTCTCACTGTACTCCAGGACTGCCTGCAACTCACCGTGTCTAATCAAGGCTGACTTTGAACTCGAAGCAATCCCAGGTGCTGGGCTTGTCGGTATGGGCCGCCACGTCTCACTCTTTGTATTCTAGCTTACAACTCCAGGTGAATCTGCAATTATCTCAAAATTGGTTGAAGATAGAATTAAATGGGGATCTGTACCATAGAATTTCATTTATATAGCATTCTTAACTGGCAAAATTATATATTTAGCTTAACAAAGGTGCAGGGTAAGCGGAGGATAGTAACTAGACCATAACGGCCCAATCAGAGGGTTCCTTGTGACAGAACTAATCTGTTCCCCGGCAGTGGAAGCTACCCGGATGGACACATGTGAGAAAGACTGCACTCTGACATTCACAGACAATGTTTCCCGGCTGTGAAAGCCACACGGATGGACCCATGTGAGGAGGACTGCACTCTGACATTCACAGATGAATGTCATGAACTGAGTAAAGTGGATGATCAGGTCAATATTGGGCTCCTGGATGTGTTTGGTGCTGTAAGACACATCTTGGCTACAGAACATGAGACCTCTCTGTGGCCTTCTATTTTTAATTTTAATTTTATTTTATGCGTGTGAATGCTGTGCCTGCATGTGTATCTGTACATCTCCCATGTACAGTGCCCTCAGAGGCCAGAAGAAGGCAACACACCCTCTGGAACTGGAGTTTTAAATGGTCATGAGTTGCATGTGGGTGCATGGAACGGAACTCAGGTCTGGTCCCCTGGAAGAGCAGTCAGTCCTCTTACCTGCTAAGCCTCCCACCCCTTCAGCCTTCTGTGTTATTCCTTACAGCTATATGTATCACAAAATTTAAATATCAAAATTACAAAACATTTATCTTTAAAAAATTAACACTAAAAACACTAAATGCTGTTTAGGTTGTTTCACTGTGACAAAGCTATTAATCTATAACAACTGTGGTGACTGGCTAATGTCATGTTGGTAGATTAAAACAGATCCACTCGGTGTATTGCCAGAGAGCCTGATGCCTCATCTGGTTAGGAAAAGATTTGGGGTAGAAGAGACACTGGAAAAGGGAAAAAAGAGAGCAGGTGAAAAAGAGAATGGGAAAGAAAACACTAAAGAAAAAAAGGCGTTCATCCTTAGCACAGGCAAGAAAGGAAATTTAATGTAGAAGGCTGAAGGGAATTTGGGACACCCTGGTGATATTAAATGTCTCTATTTTAATCAAAAAGGCTAAAGGTCTTAACTGAGAGTCCAAATCACCCCAGAGGCCAGACTAAATTGCAGCCTTTGTAATTCTTAAATTGTCATAAGAGTCTGAAATTATCAAACTTTTCAGAACACGTCCCAAGTTACAAGACAAAGGTCACCTACGAAAATGAAGAGCGGTCAGGATGCTCTTCTCAATTCATGGGGACCATCCCCGCTGACATCCCTCCAGAGCTCCCTGTCAGGGCCGTGAGGCAGGGCTGGAGACAGCGTCAACACCTGTAGCAGCCTGAGTCCTTCTCAGAGACCTGTGTTCAGGTGAAGACAGGGCTGTTGACTTCACTGGAAGAAGAATTGCAGGATGAGCCAGTAAGAGGCAGCATGGGAACGGATGAGAGGCGGTCTGGGATGAGCATAGTGGCCTTCAGAAAAGATAGTCACTTCAGTGTCTCTACAGTGGCCACATGTATGATTTTGGTGGCTTCTGAAGTCACATCTCAAAGGGAAATTTTTTCCCATCTTTTTCTTGTAGAAGAAACTATGAAGCCCTTCCTGGTGTGCACTGAACGAGACTGTAATTGATAATGTAAAACCCTCACTCACAGGGGATACATGGAAGTCACATTTGCGGAGCGCTCCAAAAAATACCTGGGAAAAGGGTAAAGCCATCATACTAAGACCTTTAACATGGCTGATGGCGGATTTCCAAGTTCGAGGCCAGCCTGGTCTACAAAGTTCCAGGACAGCCAGAGCTGGTACACAGAGAAACCCCGTCTCTATGTGGGCAATATTTACAGCACACTTTGGTAATTGTGCTGAAATTCTGACTCTCTGCAAGCCAGAAGCTTCAAGCTGACTCCAGAGGAAGGGGTTTCTTTCCTCTCCATGTGCCTTTTACTTCCTAGTGGACGGACTCATAGGGAGAAGGAAGCTTCCCAGGCAAGGGGGTTTGGATTAGAAGGCAGGAGGCCGATTAAATCTCAGAAAGTCTGGGTCCTATGGAGACCCAAACATGGACTCAAGAATTTAATTTCCTTGTATCTAAGAGATGGAAGAGTCATGGCAGTCCCTTCAATGTGATGTGTCATTCTTCCTCAAATAAGGATTGTGCAGTGTCTCACATAGTTAGTGCTTCGCACATGTTTACAGACAAAAATGTTTAGTAAATCTTTACAGACCTAAATGGAATATGAAGAGAAGGGAAGGGGATGGAGGATTTATCCCATCCACTGGGAATGGGGTGAGTACCCACCCCATGAGGCAGATTCTAAACTCAAGATGGAGAAAGGACAATCCTCTCGGGGAGCACGGGTGATCCTCTCGGGGAGCACGGGTGATCCTCTCGGGGAGCACCGGTGAGGACAGCTTTCCTTCCCTTCTCAGTGACTCCAGCACCACCACCCCACCCTGCCTGGCAGGTCATAGCAGCCAGCCATGCCTGTAGCCATCGCTAGTTGCTTCAGGAGCACCAGGAGCACTCAAGTGTGTTCCCACCAGATGGCCTCCCTTAGAAGAGAGACTTGTGTTGTGTCAATGGAAAAGTCAGCACTTTGGAGTTCAGAGAGGCCCTAGGGCCACAGTACAGGGCGACACGGGCCTAGGCCCATCACCTTCCAGCTGTCTGCCGCACAGCCTCCCTGAAGTCACCAAGAGTGGCCCTACTTACTTGGTATTTGTGCCCCACTGCTCTTTTTAGACAGTCACCTGCCCTGTCTGCTCAGAAAGCTTGTTCTGTAGGTCGAGGCGGAGCATGGAAAATTCCATGGCTCCCATTGTGAAAAGCTCTCCATTTTGGGAGCCAAGGAGGGGCGGAGGGAAGAGAGGCAGAGAGGAGATGATTCAGAAACAGCTGAACTTTGAAAAACAGAAGAAAAATCTCTCGCTCAGTGCAGAAAAGCGCCTTTTTAAATGAAGCTGTGCCAGGGGACTGAAAAATTGCTTATGAGCAGAGGACATCAGCTGAGGGGGCAGCAAACTGTCAGGGCAGGCTGAAGAACTGCTGGGAGCTCGCTTTCCTCAGAGGCAGCAGAGGAGATCCAGAACACCAACTTGCAAGGGGCTCCCAAGGCCTGCAGCCTCTGAATAGTGTGACCACTAAAGAGGATGGGTCCCAGTTATGACAGACACTAAATACCATGGCCACTAAATGCCTTCCTTGAAACCAAATATTATTTCTCCTAAATACTAAGATAGAAAATGTTAGAGGCACTGGCTAACACTGAAATTAGATACCTCTGATGCAATAAAGAACACTGAAATTAAATACTTCTGATAATAAATATTATAAGCTCTACATAACACGGGAACTAAATGCTCCAGGTATGGCATACTATGTGTACTAAGTACTAAGCCCCTGAATCATACACCGTAGCGATGGAACCCACACAGTAGACATCAATATAGTGTTAGTACTGAAGTAATGCCAGACCTATGGAGGATCAAGAATATTTGTGAATAGAACAGTCTTAGGCCCCTGGATTCTCTTCTTGGGCCCATTGTCTGAATTCAAAGTACAAAGTCAGGGCCTGGTGGGCACTTGGGACTGGAGGGAATTTGGAAGCAAAGAGCACTAATGCACTTTCTTGAGAGCAGGCCCTTACATGGAGATTGAGGCTTCCTTCCCGTATGAGTGCTAGGAAGCAGCAGCCAGTTCATAATCCCCAAGCCTTAAGACTGGGACTGCACCAAGAAAAGACTTTCTAGGTAGGGATGGTGGCACATCTCAGTGCTTAGGGGACCGAGACGGGAGGATCTCAAGGTCAAGGACTGCGTAGACTGTGTAATGAGACTGTGTCAAAAAGCCAAGGACGGGGATATAGCTTAGTTGTGAGTGCTTACCAATCATTCAAGGGGTACGGAGAAACCCTCGCTAAAACGGGACTTCCCACTATTTTTTCCTCATGATTCTATGCATCAAGAAACGGCAGGGTTCTCATCTCTACAGCCTTGCCAAAGGCTCTTTTGGGTAGCCGAGTCCAGCCATTGGCTAGGCTGAAAGACTTCCTTCCCGTGCTGTCCTTCCCATGTGGCTACCTCAGGCTCCCACAGCATGGCCTTTATTGGACTGGACCCCAAGAATGCTGCCCTAAGAGTCAAAGGCAGACAACACTGTCTACCTGCCAAGAACCAGCCTCAGAAAGTATACAGTTCTGCCACGTTTGCCTAAAAGAAGGCACAAAACTATCACATATTTAACAAGAGGAGGGCTGTAATGGGGACTGTCCTTCTGCATGCTGTGAATATATGTTTCTTCTGTTGGTTGGTGAATAGAGCTGTTTCAGCCAGTGGACAGGCAGGGTTTAGCCAGGCAGGAAATCCAAACAGGGATAGATAAAGGTGGCAGGCAGAGTCAGGGAGATGCCATGTAGCTGCTGAGGTAGCAAGAGACCAGGGAATCACCGGTAAGACAAGACCACATGGAGATACAAAGATGAATAGAAATGGGTTAATAATTAAGACAGAGCTAGTCAATAAGAAGCCTGAGCAATAGGCCAAACCATTTCTAATTAGCATAAACATTTATGTGTTTATTTTGGACTGAACAGCTTCGAGACCAAGTGGAACAGAAACTTCCTCCTACAGGGCTGGGCATGGTGGTGCATGCCTTTAATCCCAGCACTCGGGAGGCAGAGGCGAGTGGATCTCTGTGAGTTCAAGGCCACCCTGATCTACACAGTGAGTTCCAAGACAGCTAAATTATATCCTGCCAAAAAAAGGAAAAGAAAAAAGAAAAGAAAGAATGAAAAAAGAAAAGGAGAGATAAGCTTCATTTTTTACTGGAAAGAAGGGTAGCAGTGATCTGTGGCCATCTTTTACCCAAGGCACAGATGCAATGAACTCTGTGGTGACTCACCCAGTATTCTCTTGGGGATGGAAGCATTTGCTTCTCTGAGGGCGTATTGGCTGCTTACAGCTGGATCTTCGCCCAGCAACGGTTTCCCTCTTAAGGGAGGACATTTCCTGAGAGCCCAGCCTCCTTAAGTGAATTTATGACCATTTTTAATAACTCTAAAGTGCCATGTCAGCTCTGGAGTCCCCTAGATCAGTCACAGTTGATGGGTGCAGTGCAAATCAAACTTCTGCTTCTTCAACTTCCCCTAGAATGTGTTCCCAAGAATCTTCCACAGCAGCTTCCCACATTTGGAGCTCTGCCCCTAACTGTGTCCCAGGTGCCGGACCTTAGCCATAGGCCTGAGCCATAATAGAACACAGACTGGGTTAGACAGCATAGGAAGTAGGACTGGGCCTCCAGCAGGCAGCAGAATGTATGAAGATAAAGCTAGGTGGAGAGGAGTGGCCCTTGATGGAATGGGTAGAGGGAGAGGCAGCTGAGGTTCAATCCCGTCAAACACTTACTTACCTAACGGGCTACTGTGAATGATCAGAACATTGTCTGCAGCTGGCATCATTATAAATACAAGGCACTGCAATGTCTTGAGACTTTAATTCTTTTACTCACAGCTCGGCCTGCTTGTTTCAGGATGGATTTCGAGCAGCGAAATGACGAATTGAAGCACGTGACCACACTTAAGGCTACGGGGATGCTCCAAGCCCCGCCCCCATCCCAGGTTACACTGCATTTGCATGGCGTTCCCCATCAGCCAAATTCCTCCCATTTGCGAGAGACCTGATTTAGGTGAGGTCATTGATTCAGCTGGAGAGTTAATTATTCATTTGAATTGGTTTGTGCAAAAGGCTCCAGAGAGCCCACAAGAATAAATTGAAAAGCTATTAGAACTAACAGGAGAATTTAATAAAGTAGCTGGATGCAAAATTCAATAGCTTCCTCATCAACTAGCAACAACCAATTAGAAAACACAATGGGAGTGAGCAGGCGGAGGGACAGAGATAGCAACAATGACAAAAACACCTGGGATTCACTGCTCCAACAAGGTGGATCCAAGAAATCCGCATCTTCCAATTTTCCAGCGTTGAAACCTCACGACATAAGGAGATGGGAAAGCGAGTTGTGTTCGAACATGGGGCGGTAGAGCAAACACCGCGAAGAGATAACATGCTCCAATTAAAGAACAAGAGGGTTGTACAGGTAGTCTGGCTTGATGGTGATGCAAGCCTTCAATCCTGAGAGGCAGAGGCAGCTGGATCTTTACCAGTTAGAGGCCAATCTAGTCTAAATGCAAGTCCAGGCCAGTCAGTGCTATGTAGTGAGACCCAGTCTTAAAAACACATGTGGATGGAAATAATTAAGGGGGAAAATGTCCAGATCTGAAGGCAGTAGGAAGAGACAGTGACACTGGGCCTGCCTTGAACTTCTGAAACCTTAAAGCCAAGCCAAGTGATGCACTTCCTCCAACAAGGCCACACCTCCTAATAGTGCCACTCCCTATGAGCCATGAGGGGCATTTTTATTCAAACCACCATAAATAAACAAATTCTGAATGGATTGTGCCATTCCCCCAAAGACTATGTTGAGGTGCTAATTCAGCACTTTTGGATGTGACCTTACTTGCAACAGGGTTGTTGCAGATGTAGCAAGTCAAACTAAGATGAGGTCATCCCAGATTAGAAATGATGGCCATTTAAGAAGAGGGCATATCAGGCTAAGATGTTGCTCAGCTGGTAGAGTGCTTGCTTCGCATATGTCTTAGTGTCCTATTGCTGTGAAGAGACACCGTGACCGACTCTTATAAAACAAAGCATTTAATAGGGACTTATTTTATAATAAGAAAAGAAATGAACATCGTTTTTTTTTAATGCCTCCTTTCTTCTTTTTTGCCTGTTTTTGCAGACTGGAAACGGACGGACACTGGCTGTGCTGCTTCATTACTTGAAACAGGACCTCTCACTAAACCTGGAAGCAGGCTGGTGGCCAGCAGACCCAGCAGCACTAGAATTCCAGCTCGTGCACACCCACACCCTGCTCTTTATGTGGATGCTGTGGGATCGAACTCAGGTCCTCAGGCTTGTAAAACAAGCACTGTGACCCACTGAGCCGTCTCCCCAGTTCTTCCTACTTTCTTCTTCCTCTCTCTCTTCCTTAGAGATTCACAGTGTAGCTGGAAGAGCTCCCACCTGAGCGTCCTGAGTGCGGGAAGGACTGGGAGGAGCCAGCACCGACCGCTTGTCTCCTGCTGCTTTCTTTGATTCTTTCTAGGTATCCTTAGACACGGGTTCCCTTGGAGCCAAACAACAGGTCACACGTTTTTATCATTTGGCTTGGGGATTTTATTTGTTTGGGGAGGTCTTCCTAGGAAGCCCTGACTGGCTCAGAACTCACCACATAGACCAGGATGCGCTTGAACTTAAAGTATACTCTAGCCTCTGTCTCCACGTGTCCAGATTATAGACACACAACCTCATGATTGACAAAACGACTGCTTTCAAAGGTACCCACGATTTGTTTTGATTACCTAAGATGGCAAAGCAATTCTGTCCTTTTGAAGAGAGAGGGGGGAAAAAAGCTTTCTTTTATTTTTAATTACGTGGCTGTGTGCATGTGAGTACGGGTGCCTGAGGAGACAGAAGAAAAATGGATCCGGAGTCAGAAGCGGTTGTATGTCACCTGATGTGGGTGCTAAAAACCACACTGGGCCTCTGCAAAAGCAGTTACACACTCTCAACTGTAAAGTCATCGCTCTAGGCCCACACGGCGTCTTTTAAACGAAGAAACTATTATTTGGAATTTCCAAGAAAAGGGACAGTGCAGAGCAATGTGGGGACACGTGGGGAGCAGATAGAATGAGAGAAGGCTTAAGTCAGAGGCTTTATTGCAATTTCCATGAGCAGAGTAGACACACCCGTCAGGATGGCTAGTGGAATAATTTCAACTGGCTCTCCCCTAGCGGGATAGCTCCTAGATGTCCAGTACCGAGCCTTGGGCAGGGAGATTTAGGGCTGGGAGAATATTGGCTTAATGTGTGAGAGTTAAATAAAGGAAGTGACCAAGGATCTGGCCTCAGAACTGATTTCTGCATATCAAAGGCAAACTCAAGGTCAGTGGGTTTTCAACCTATGGGTCATGACCCCATTGGGGTCACCTAAGATGATCAGAAAACATGGATATTTACATTATGATTCATAATAGTAGCAAAATTATTTCTTATGATGCAGCAGCAAAACGAATTTTATGGTTGGGGGTCACCACTACATGAGCTGTATTAAAGGGTCACAGCATTAGGAAGATTGAGGATCACTGCTCTCGGTGTTAGCTAGCTGTACGGGGGTTGCCTCCCTGGGATCAGGAAGGTCACCAGATGCCAAAGCACAGTAAAGAAAAACATGTGGTTACTATAAAGATCCATGTTCAAGGTCATTCTTCACAGAATTTCTAATACCAAAGGTCACAAAGTGTGATGGTTGGTGTTGTCAGTTAAACAAAATCTAGAATCAGCTGAGATGGGTCTCTGCACATGCCTGTGAGGGGTTTTCTTAACTCTGGGTCTCTGTGCCTGACTATGAGGGATTTCTTAGTTATGGGTCTCTGTGCATGCCTGTGAGGGGTTTTCTTAGCTCTGGGTCTCTGTGCCTGACTATGAGGGATTTCTTAGTTATGGGTCTCTGTGCATGCCTGTGAGGGGTTTTCTTAAGTCTGGGTCTCTGTACATGCTTGTGAGGGGCTTTCTTAACTGGGCTAATTGAAATGGAAAGGCCTATCCTAATTGGCAGTACTGTTTCATGGACTGGGTCCAAGACTGAATGAAAAGGAGAAAGTGAGCTCAACACCAGAGCTTTCATTGCTCTGTAGCAGCCCTGGCTGTCCTGGAACTAGCTCTATAGATCAGGCTGGCCTGGAACTCTCAGAGTCTGCTTCCCAAGTACTAGGATTAAAAGCATGTGCCACCATGCCTGACCTTGTTGGAGTATTTTATCACAGAAACAGGAAAAGAAACTGAGATCGAAACCAAGGAAATGTCTAGCATGCATGGAGCTGGTTAAGTAAATGATGACGTATCAAAGCCATCTAGTGTTATGGAGCCATGGAAAACAATGTATTTTTAAGTACCTTTATTTACAGCTGTTTTTTTTAATTCTGAAAAGCTGTTAACCATATTGGAACACAACATTTGGAGTAACCAGCATCTATGTACCCAAGATTAAAGCTATAGTTTTGCACTAACACTATTTGGCACCCAAAATGGGGCCTCAAGCAGATCCACTTTCATCAGAAGAGTCATCTAAATTATTATCCAGTACCCACATGGGCCACTGTGCCCCACTGTTCAGCATTGCCTCAGGTGGATGATGATGAGTTCTTTTAGTGTGAGGGTCAGACCGTCTTAGTTTAGCCCATGGTCCATTGGTTTATTCTGGGTGGTTATTTGGATCTTATCTTGTTTTGATGTATTATTGTTTTGTTTTCAAAGCATTTGGTTTATTTTTGTTATTAAAATGTTTACTTGCTAGCATTCAATCATTCTCCTGCCACTCCTCTGACATGCAATTCTGCTTTTTAAAAAAGATTTTTAAACACTGAGCCATCTCTCCGGCCCCATGAGTTTGCACTTTTCTACAGCTTTTCATGTTTATTACAATCTTGCTGCCTCTAGTTTAGTGTTCTATGATCCCCTGACCATAAAGACACTAAAGAGACATTTGTTCCCTCCAACCCAACAATCTGGAAGTGTCCAAACACCCCATGTTTTGTCCCATACAGAAACACAACAAAATCTATCTTTTCTGGGTTGGAAAAAGCTTTATTGGCCCAGTTGGAAAAAGGCTCACAGGGTTGCTCACCCAGTGTCTTGGGCCCCCTCATGTTTCAGTAGATGGGCAGGACAAGTCTGAGATACAGTGAGGAGGAACTGACCTCAGGATAAATGCTGGAGAAGTTACTCCTAACAGTAGTGTATAAACCAGACCCCTTGGCAGCATAGACAAGTGTCTGATTTTCAGGAGAAAATGAAATACAGGAAAGAATGTTTGGAGAAGAACCACCATTTCTTTATTTTCAGTGGTTTTATGCTTGATGATTGTGTTATTTCAAAGTTCAAGTGTTTGGAAAATGGGGAAATGTAACTAAAGATAAACTTTGTTTTAAACTTGCCTCAGTAGGAAACATATGACATCCCTAAACTGGGTTTCTGCATGCTACATTAAAATTTTAGGCCAGGCATGATGGAACATGCCTTTAATCCCAGCACTAGGGAGGCAAAGGCAGGCAGATCTCTATGAGTTCAAGGCCAGTCTGGTCTACAGAGTGAGTTCTAGGACAGCCAGGACTCTGTTACACAGAGAAACTCTGTCTTGAAAAACAAAAACAAAAACAAAAAAGCAAGCAAACAAAAAACTTAAGTAATAGAATTTATTTTTATTTTTGTTTCTGTGTGTTATTTGTTTTGAGATAAGGTTTCTCTATGTAGCCCTGGCTGTCCTGGAACTCACTGTATAGACCAGACTAGCTTCCAACTCACTGAATCCTTTTGTCTCTGCCTTCTAAGTGCTAGGATCAAAGGCATGTGCTGCCACACCCCAGAAGGTAATAGAATTTAAGATTGTGAATGGGCATTTTACAAAACAATGAGTTTATAAACTATATCTAATTTTGAAAGTAATATTAAAAATAAAAATATTAAGTAAATGGCTGAGCAGGTAAGACCATTGCCAAGCTTGATGACATGAGTTCGATTCCCAGGGCCTAGATTATAGAAGAACAACAACAGAACCAGCTCTAATTTGTTGTCCTTTGACCTCCATATGGCAGGTGCGCGTACGCATGCTATGTGCACGCACACACACACACACACACACACACACTTTTAAAATAAATAAGAAATGATTTTAAAATATCGATGCTGTATCAGAACTATAAACTCTGAGAAAATTAATTTTTTTAAAGGGAAAAGCTCAAATGTTATCCCCAACTACCACAAACCATGCAGTTGAGTTTCCTGCATTTGGGGAAATGGCAGGAGCCAGGATACCCAGAGTGCAATGGGTGAGAACAACCCCGGGAAAACCACCTCCTTGATCGTGGTATCTTCCCTGCTGGGTAATTTTTCTAAAGTAACTTTTCTGAGCCCTCTCCCTGCTTCATCTATCTTCTCTGACCTTGCTTCTTATTCCTTGTCTCCAAGAACAAGATTCTGTTTCAAAGGAGAAGACTGCTCTAGGACACAGCCTAGACAGGAAAGAGATCCAGCACTACAAAAAATGTTCATCTGTGAGTGGTGGTGCACGCCTTGAGTCCCAGCGTTCAGGAAGCGGAGGCAGGTGGGTCTCTGTGAGTCGAAGGCCAGCAGACAGGTGAGATTCAGGCCACCTACGGTGACATAATGAGACACCACCAATAAAAGAAAAAAAGGAAGAAAACCTGCCTAGAAGGTTGTCTTGCTCTCTGCTGCTTTTAAACTGAGAAAGCAGAGCAGTATTAGGCTGCGAGCGTAGCTCAGTACTACAGCATTTACCTGGCACACACGAATGATAGCACAGCTTTAATCCCAGCACTCAGGAAGCAGAGGCAGGCTGATCCCTGCGAGTTCTAGTCTGCATTGTGAGCTCCAGGCCAGTCAAGGATACATAGTGAGAGACCCTGTCTCAAAGAATTATAACAATAAAAACTATTATCCTAAGTCTGCAGAACAAGCCTGAACTTTGCTTTTTTTTTCTCCCTGGGCCTCTCTTAATTATAGATGTAGGTTTTCTACTTCACCTTTTCTAAGAAATGCACTGTAGCTCGCGCTCATGGCTTCCATGTGAGTGTTTTTTACATGTCATTTTGAGTGTGTATGATTGTTTTTACAGGTCTTTTGGGTCTAAAACAGCAAGGTGGGGCTGATACTGTCTCCCCAATAGACAAGATCTGTGGCTACTTCATTTTTACATTTATTTCTTTTTGGTTTCTGGAGACAGGGTTTCTCTATAGCCCTGGCTGCCCTCAGACTCGCAGGGATCGCCTGCCTCTGCCTCCTAAAAGCTAGGATTAAGGGCGTGCACCACCACTGCCTGGTTTACATCTGTAACATTGTGTGTGCTACAGTTATTGTTGTTGACATGAATAATTTAAATGTGTTTGTATGCTTATATAAACGTCTTTAGGATTTTTTTTTTTTTTTTTTTTTTTTTTTTTTTGCTGGCTGCTACCTCTTTTGAGAAACAGGCTACCTTGGTCAAGTCTAGAATGATCATCATAAAACAAACCTGTTGGCTCTGAAAATGGTCCCAAGCCTGACCACTGAGTTCACTTCCCAGAGCCCTTCAAAGCCAGGGAACTGGCTCCACAAAGGTGCCCTCTGGGGCTGGAGAGATGGCTTGGAGGTTAAAGGCTTGCATTGCTTCTGCCGAGGATCTGAGTTTGGCTCCCAGGACCCTAGATGACCAAATTACTGCAATCCCTGTGGTAAAGCTACAATTTAGGATCGTATGTCCTTATAGCGATCATGTTTATTTCATGACCTCCTACCTTACTTGAACCAAGTAGTTTTTTTAAATCTTTAAATATTTTGCTTTTATTTAGTGTGTGTGTGTGTGTGTGTGTGTGTGTGTGTGTGTGTGTGTGTGTGTGTGTGTGTGTGTGTTGGGAGCATGCTCGCACCAAGGTCTGCATATTGGGGTCAGGGGACAACTTGTGGGATTGGTTCTCTTCCTTCTACCCTGTGGGTTTGGGAGATCAAAGCCAGGTTTCTCGGGCTTGCCAGCATGCACCACTGCCTGCCAAGTCATCTTCCCAGCCCACTGAACCAAGTCTTACTTAAAGGCCTTCAAGTTTTTCACTACCTTCATAAAATAATTCCCTCATTAGCCAACATAACTTGGCTTTTAAAATTCAGTGTTATCTTAAAATTTCCAAAAAGAACTCTATTTGGAGGTGCCTCAATTTTAAATCCAAACTTAACAGCCACAGCCAAACCCCTCCTACTTAAAAAATAATTGTTGTGAAGGCTATTTCTCTATTTCCTTCTAAGCCAGGCTTTCCGGGTGAGAACCCAGCAGAGACGATCTAAGGACAGCACCAGCCCCTTCCCACCAGAAGCTCTAACCTCTGGTTGTGTTCTCCTCCCCCCCCCTCCTCTGGGGCTCCAGTGAGAACTCTCCACAGCCTCGGAGGGGCATTGTCATGGAGCAGTCATCTCTGCGAGTGGAGGTAGGCCCATTTGCCTTGAGCCTGACTTTTCTGATCAATGTACTCGCTGGCAGTATCCCTTTCTGGACCTTGCAGTTTGAGGGTAAAAGATGCTAATGCCCCTGAAACCATGTCCACAAACTCAGTGTAAGCCTAGCAAAGGGTTAAAGGCGTCTTCTGCTTTGGCAAAGAAGGCTGTTATAACTGCAAGTTCTGGTGTGGTTGAACTTCTGGTAAGGATACTGGGGTCCTCAGTGGGTGAGGCGGGTGAACATTGGTGGTTACTGATACTCCTCGAAGAGAACTTGCTCATGTCATACAGACACTGCCTTGTGTAGGTCATACATGAAGAGAACACGCTCCACTGTCCCTGCAGTGATGTGGGGAGCTAAGCCTCTCCCAGGCATCTTGAACTGCCGGCACAGTCTAGAGGTGGGACTAGCCATACTCGCAGGACAAACAGCCTTCCCAGGACGCTGGCTGTTTATCCAAGGGTAAGCTGTCCCTACTGGGGTGGAAGAAGGCGGACATGGGTCCATAGCCATGAAAGTGGCCATCACCCTGTCTCGTTAGCCTCTCCCGTTTCTGATGAACTCACTCCGAGTACTGGAGGCAAAGAGCAACAGAGACCTTTTTCCTGAGTTTCTCAAATCCTCTTATCCCCAATGATCTCCAAGATCCTTACCCCAGCCATTTTGCCAAGAGCTTGCTAACAACTGTGATGTGAGCTTTCTCACTCCCTAACTCGTACACAAAAAGACTGGGGGTCCAACACCCTGGGTCTCCACCACAGCTTCCGGGGAGGTGGGCTACAAAGGTGGGCAGAGGTTGTGTCAGTCCTAGGAGGTGGGGGACTGGCAGCCCCGCCCCACCAGCCCCCCCCCCAGTCCAGGAAAGTGCACAGATCCTAGTTAAGACCCAGCATTACCAAGAGGCGCCAAATCCAAGAGGTTCTGTAGCAGGTTCCTGGGAACAAGTATGGGCCCTGTCCTGATCTGAGATGCAACACTCCAACCTGTCTGTGTATGCTCCTGAAATGTCTGGGTGCCAAGAACCCCTGTGCTGGGGCCTCCCAGGGAGACCCATGATACTGCACTAATTTTAAGTGCCTGCTGTTTCCAGATACACTAAGTTGAACAAGAACAAAAAGATCTTCTGCAGGGAGAGCCAGAAACTACAAATGATTCTGTAGATGGTCTTTAACCTCTGCTAATTAGTTGAGTTCCCCGAGTGTGGGAAAATGTATGAGGTACCCGGGCAGGGCGGCAGGGAGTTCCTGCTGCAGGTCTGTGAAGGGAAGGGAAAGCGCTGCCTGCCTTCCAGACATTGCCTTCTGTTCTCTTATTTTGGCTTCTGGACACGAGCATGGGGGTGGGCAAACAGTTTACTCAATGAGACAGACCTAGCACATGTCCCAGGAAGCAGGGTAATTGCCGATGTTACTGGTGACTGTTGAGTTTGCAGTGCCTATCCTCTCGTGAGGAGCGAGAAAGCAGAAGCAAACAGTTCCTCCAAGAGCTCGTCTCCTTCCATGGGACTCGCTCCAGTGGCTGGGTGCCAGCAGCACCCACACACAGCAGAGGGCTGGAGAGCCAGACTCCCAACTGGCCAGTGTTGGCAGCTGTCCTATAGATCTTGCAGTAGGGTTCAAAGGTATGCAATTCCCTGTGCTGGTACTTCAAGCCTAATGTCCCTTTAATAGCCCTTGTCAAATTGCCACGGCTCTCCCCGTAGATTTTCACGACTATGGACAACAGCCATTATCTGACCTCCAGGGGAATGGAGATGTCTTCGGATTCTGGATTCTGGGAAAAAGGGTTATAAAAGAGAGTGGAACTGATCCACACCAGCTGTGTATGAACAACTCTGTAATGATCCAAGGTACTGAGCCCAGCCACAGTGAAGAGAATCTTTAAACAAATGTATTCCGGGCTCAAAGACTTCTTATACACTCATGCATATGCAAGCAAGCACACACACACACACACACACACACACACACACACAGTTTGCCTTCTGAAGGCATAAAAAAATGTAAAAATATAAGTGGTTCCTTTTGACTTAAGGGGCAGGGAAAGGGGAAAAGGTGACCAAGCAGAGGGCTTAATTTTCAAGTTGAGAATTATAATAAAAACTTTAAATTACATATGGGAAGTTTTCAAAGGTTTTAGCAGCCAAAGAATATGACATCAAAAATGTCCTTCCTGGGAGGGTGTAGTGCAGTTGATAGAGTTTGCTTAGCGTGAGGTTCTAGGCTCCATCCCCAGCACCAAATAAGTCAGGTATGTTAGAACATGCATATGGTCCCAGCACTTGGGAAGATCAGAAGTTCAAGGTCATTCTTAGCCTTGTGACTAGTTCAATGCCAACCTAGGATATGAGAGACTGTTGGGCCTAAGAAAGGCTGAGATTCCAGGCCGAGTGTAGGCTCCTGAGCCTGACTTGAGTTTAGGGCTCGGACGTGAGGCCCAGTGTGACCTCCTGAGCCTGGCTGGAGTTTGGCGACCTGTCTCTAACCTGTAACTCCACATGGGGGTGACTCAGCCAGACCTGATGTAAGGTTGTCCTCTGCCTAGCTACCTGCCTGCTTGGCGGAATCTTATTGGCCCTTACTCCTCACGTCACCTTACCCTATCCTAAGATTCCCATCCCCTACCTCAGCCCTATGTAAGTTGGAATAAATCAAGATCCTGCTTCGACAGACTCTCCAATCAGTGTGTTTTTTCTCCCCAGTAACTAATGAGGGGAGGGTCTGAGTCATTGACACTCACCATCCAGCTCAGCCTCAGAAGAGACCAGCTGGACGGGCCCTTCCCCCGCTCTACCTACCAGGAGGACCCTGCAAGAGACCTTGTCTCAAAAGCAAAGTGTCTTCCTTTTCTTCCTACCTAATTTGAAAGAGAGAGTATTTTAACCCAAAAAGCATTTGATTAAATAG